AAACGGAAGAAAGGGAAGAACGCGCGTCACAAGAAGCTTGTGAAAAGTTGTGTAAAATTTACGGTGACAATACTCTACAAGAATGTCAATGCCAACGATGGTTCACGAAATTCCGTGCTGATGATTTTGACCTCAACGACGCTTCTCGATCAGGAAGGTCCACCGAGATTGATGACGACAAAATAAAGGTATTGATCGAGTCAAACCTACGTTACACGACACGAGAGATTGCAGAAATATTGAACATCTATCATTCAAGCGTTCACAACCACTTGAAGAAGCTGGGATACGTAAGCAAATTCGATATTTAGGTTTCTCATCAAAGAAGTTTATTTGACGGTGCGTATAAACATCTGCGATATCTCATTAAATGTGAGGAAAACGATCCTTTTTTGAAGCGACTGATAACTGTGATGAGAAGTGGATTGTTTACAACAATGTGGTGAGTAAACGGTCTTGGTCCCGACGTGATGATTCACCTCAAGCGACATCAAAAACAAACATTTATCAGAGAAAGGTTATGCTCTCAGTGTGGTGGGATTTTAAAGGTGTCGTGTTTTTTGAGCTACTAAGGAATCAAATAATCAATTCGAATGTGTACTGTCGGCAATTGGACAGTTTGAACGAATCCATCATCCAGAAATGTTCAAAGCTCGTTAATCGTAAAGGAGTTGTGCTCCATCACGACAACGCGAGACACACACAAGTTTAATTACCCGTCAAAAATTGAATGGGATGTGTTACCACACCCGCCGTACTCGCCTGACCTTGCGCCATCAGACTTCCACTTGTTTCGCTCTCCTCAAAATTCCTTGCATGGTATAATGTTTAATTCAGATGAGTAAATGTAAATCAGCATCTTGTTTAGTTTTTCGCCGATAAAGACAGGTCCTTCTATAAACGAGGATTTATAAAACTTACTGAGAGGTGACAAAAAATTATTGAAACGGGCAATATATCATTGATTAATCTTTGTTCTTTATCTTATTAAATGAATGATCTTTGAAAAATAGAAAATACGTCATGACTTTTCCGACAACCCAATAATATCATCCAGTGTACAATTGATGCCTTTGGAATTTTATTAATCTTAACCTACGTGTGACGGATGCCTCTGACATTATTAATACTCACCAGCGCACGAATATTTATCATCCTGTTTTGTAATTTTACAAATTTTAGAATTTGTATATACTTGTTATATACTTGTTGTTGTAGCATATATTTTCGCTTGCATCAAATAAAAAAAGAGAGAAGAAGTAAGATATACAATTGATTATTTCATTAATCATGCAATAAATTTATCGAATTTATAATTAATTATTCAAAACATAGCAAACTTTGAATTTTTAAGAGAATGACAGAAAACATATTATAAAATAATTTTATACATTCTCATATATTACATTATTTAAAATTTTTATAAATAAAATTATATAACAGCTTATTATAATAAATATTATATGTAAAGTATAATGATCATATGTAACTATTTCCGTTTTCATTCACATTAATATGTGCTCATTCTTTTCAATTCATTCGCTATATGTCAACAATTATTAGCGGTAACCAAAATACGTCCAAGATGCTCGATCATCGCATCGAGAGCGAAAGAGTACGATAATTTCTGTTCTCTTCTTACGGCGCATCGAGCGCGACAGAGTACGTTAGTATCTTTATTCTCTTCTATCGTCTGAAGCCGAAACGCTGGGTGTACATGTATATGCTTCATGTTTTGTGTGTATGCATTGTGTGTCGCATTGTTCCACATTTTCTTTACATGTATGTACAGCATCGATTTCTGAATGTACTGATGCCATGATTCTAAAATTTATAAAATTATCAAGCGGGACGACGAATGATCAAGTTCATTTTCATTCGCTTCGAGAAGAGAATAAAGAAACTATTGTATTCTCCCGCGCTCGACGCGCTGCGAGAAGAAGATAGAGATATTAATCATACTCTCTCGCCCTCGATGCGCTATACGATATATGATGTTCGAGCGTATATACAGAATGCAGGTGGAGCTGGTAAGACTGAGAAAGTCCTCTGTCATTTTGCAATTTTCACGATAATTATCGAGTTATTAATTATTAAAAATCACCGTATTAGCCCGGCCCACCGGCAAATGCAAGCGCGCGGTAAGATATTCCTGCCCAACGAACATCGTTGCTAGATGCGCGAGGAATTGTTTTCTTCAATATATTAGCTATAACTATTGCCGCTTGAAGTAAATAATTCTTCACGCGCCTATCAACGATGATCGCCGGGCGGGAGTATCTTACGCGCGCTTGCATTTGCCGACGGGCCGAGCTAGTACGGTCAT